TTCAGCCCTCCACATGTGCTCCATTCAGACTCCAGCAGCAGCATCCCTACTGTGCAGAGTTTCTTCCCAAACATTCCAGGTCTGTGACAGGCTGATGAATCCAAGTGTTCAAATAGGATTAAAAGAATAATTAAAAATCCAGCAGTAAAAAGCTGCTCAAAAGAACTGTGACACCTCAGGCTGGCATGGCAGTGGCCAGGCAATGTCTGAGCTCCACAGTGTCAATGTTGCAAGCTGTCCTTGAGTTAGTCACAGCGTGGGATGGGAATAAAGAGTGGCTCAGGAAATTGGGAGCACGTGTTGGAGGGAAGAGTTGGAATGATGGGCACAGAATCAATACAGGAACCAACCCAGCTTTCTGGTAACCTGTGTCTAACACAAACACAGGTATCACCTGGATTTCTCAAATGTCAATATGCAATTTTGGTAGCGCTGAGGCGGTAACTTAGAATTTCTGGCTTAGATCTGTGCTGTGATATCAGTGGCTTTGCCCTGTGGTTCTTTTTTAACATCCTGTTTATTATGAGCTGAAATGGATCGAATTAAGAGAAGACTTGGTTTGCAGTGACTGAAAGGATGGCACTGTTAGAGCTGGGCTGCTGTGATTACTTTAATGCCCAAATCACTGAGCTGGGGGCCCAGGTGAGCAGAGGCAGGTGAGCAGGCCCAGGTGCTGCCAGGTGATTTCTGGGGAAGGCTGCAGTGAAGAGACAAGTGAACCAGACCATAGATCAATCAAACCATGGATTGCTCAAACTATAGCTTAATCCTCACCACTCCAACCCCGACTGGAAGGGAAAAAAAGTCCTGTGTTGAACAGCCAGGAAATGGCTGGTTCGTCCTGCACAGGAAATGAGTCACCCCCGAGCATCGGGAGGAGCCACGGGGACAGGGAAGTGCTGAAATAACATGGACGAGGAACAGCACAAATACAGAGAAGTCTCTCATTCATGGATTAGAAAGAAGGAAAGGTGTAAACTGTGAGCTCTTCTGATTCTACTTGAAATTTGAAGTTGATGTAGGTGCTTGCAGCATGAAATACCTGCAGCTGCAGTTTGGCAGCCCTGTAAAAAGGGAACTCAGAGCGTGCAATGGCAACACCGACTGTGCCCCAGGTGCAGCTCTCCTGGCCTGCAGAGTGTTTCTCAGCTGCTCAGCTCTGGATCTGCACAGGAGGCCTCATGTCACTGCAGTGGTAGAGCTGTCACAGACACCTCGCTCCCAGAGCCCATACACGGGTTAGGAATCACAGAATCACAGACTGGTTTGGGCTGGAAGGGACCTCAAAGCTCATCCCATTCCACCCTCCTGCCATGGGCAGAGACACTTCCCATTAGACAAGGCTCCAAGCCCCATCCAACCTGGCCTAGAACACTTCCAGGGATGGAGCAGCCACATTTGCTCTGGGCAACCTGTGCCAGGGCCTCACCACCCTCACAGGGAAGAATTTTTTCCCAATATCCCACCTAACCCTGCCCTCTGTCAGTTTGAAGCCACTTCCCTTTGTCTGGGCACTCCAGGCCCTTGTAAAAAGTCCCTCTCCAAGAACACTTCTGTTTATTACTGACAGGATATTAAGCTCAATTCCAAGCCCCTTTATTTACCCATTACCAATCAGAACACTCCTTGGTAATACTCCATGCTGCCAAACTCTCCTGGATCAGTGGAAGAAACGCCCCCCTCACTCAGGCAGTGTCCTGCTCAGAAAGCCACGTGTCTGCAGGGAAGAGCTGCACCTTTCCCAGGGCTGGAACTAACCCAGCCAGCTCTCCTGTGGTCCTCCCTGTGCCCACTCCTCCTCCAACCACCCCAGCTGCAGAGGGGCTTCGGGTCCCTCTCCTCGCTCCTTCCCTCAGGCATGAGCAGGGGAGGCCGAGGGTCAGGGCTGGACACATCTGCTGGACTGACAAACCCCGGGGGATTCCGCTCCCGCCCCGCCCGCTCTGCACTAACCCCTCCCAGAGCTGTGATGTGGCATCCTCAGCGATGCACAGAAGAATGTTCTGGCACCCTAAGACGTTGCTAAAGCTGCCAGTAGGCTTTGAAACAAAACCACCGTGTTCGCTGAAAAGGGCTGGAAATAAATAAAAGAGACAAAGAGAAGCACCCTCTAGCTCCCAGGTTTCTTTGGGATTCACAAGCAGCAGTTATCTGGGAAAGAGTTCCCTGGTTTAGGGCCTTGCAGAGTTCTGGGAATAACGGGGCAGGAGAGGAACTTCCAGGAAAGCAACTGTCACTGACACCAGCATCTAGGATGCACCACTCTGCCCAGGGCTTCGGGCTCCTGAACTGGGGCCGTGTTTTAGGAGGGTTTCTGGTTTTCAAACTGCTGACAGAAACATGGGGTGGAAGAGGAAGGAGAAGGGGAAGAGTTCTGCCAGTTTGCAAAGGACACAGTTACGCAGAGAAGTGTCCGTGACCCTGCACAGGCCGCAGGGTTGTTTTAACAATACAAAGGGAAAAGGCAGGAAAAGCTCCGTTTTGTTTCAGAGGGTTTTTCTTCTCTAGTGGTGAATTAAACGCCAAGAGATAACACAGGCAGGAAGGGCTCAAAAAGAGAAAAGCTGGGTGTGCCCCAGAGGCCTTTCCCGGCCGGAGGAACCGGAGCTGGAGGGTGGGACCCTGCTGCAGGATCCTACAAAACAAACTGGTTCTTTTTTTTCCCTTTTTTTTCCCTTTGCCCTCCTCTTTTTTTTTTTCCACATGGCCATTTTCATCTGGGTTTGTTTTTCAAAACAAACACAAGGACACACAGGGGCAGGTCCTGCTCCCTGCTGGGTTTTTATATCAAGTGTGATCTTGTTCTTAAATGTATTTTCCTGTTTGGCCCAGAGAAAGCCCCAACAGTATCTCTGGTCACTTTGCTCCCTGAGCAGATGCTGCCTGAAAAATTCTCTTCATGTTGCAGGAAAACAACAGATAAAATGTTGCACAATCATAATTTCTGCCAGAACTGTGGAAAATCAGAGTGAGTTGCACAAACCTTAACAAGTCTTTTAAGTCAGACCACACCTGCAGAGGACAGGCCTTTGGAAATCAGGAATCCTGTGCTGGCATCCACCTCTCACTGTTCCACCATAGATACCTGGAAAGCACCTGGGATACCTGCACATGCCATGAACTCATGTCAGCAGCCACTAGAAAATCAGATCCTGGCTGAGCATTAATGAATATTTTCAGCCTTTGTGGCATGTTCAGGGGGCTCTTCTTTAGGGGTATTGAAATAGCCCATATTTAAAAAAAAAAAAAAAAAGAGGGATTCTGTCTCCACAGCATCCTCTACCATGGAGGGATTCCTTACTTACAGTATAGAAATAAAATCATTCTGAAGGGAAGATGAAGTGAAACATCTCCATGGGAAACACACCTTAAACCAGGCACAGATCAAGGGAGTGCAGGAAGCTTGTGTTGGCTGTTAAATTCCTGCTCTCTTTGATCACATCACTTTATCTCTCTGGCTCTCAGCTACACTGGATCCATAATCCCATCATTTTCCTATTCTTTGTCTCATCGAAGTTGTAAATCTCTTATCTGAGGCAGCAGCTGAGCCTTTCAAATGCACGACCCAGTAAACAACCTGGTTTCAGACAGTTTTATTTGCCTTTAGCAATAGATCAGAACATACTTTTCCTGGATTTTAACTGGGAGCCCAGTAAGTCAAAGATTTGGGAATCAGAGTTCCCAGGTCCTGGTAAGATCCGAGGCCAAGGCAAGCTCCTGCATTTCACAGATGGGGACAAGGGTGAGGGAGGCAGGTGATGTCTGATCCTGGCCTCCGAAACCTCTGAGAATTGCCCCACTGAGAAACAAGAGCTCTGGCCAGAGGACTCGGCACAGCAACGTGGGTTTGGGAGAAGACAGACCATTTCAGTTCTAATTTTTTCTTTTCCCTACTCATGTGTCAAGTGTATGCTTGAGAGAGACAAGAGAATACAAAATGCATGTCTGTACCTGCCCGAGTTACCTGACACGCAGCAGAAACACTGCCCAAATTTCCTTTGCACTATAAAGTAATTTTCTGAGCGTTCACATGGGTCTGTACTTAAACAGTGTTTCACCTACAGCAGAACTGCTCCCTGGAGCGGTGGTGGGGAGGATCCAGCAGCATCCAGGGGCCTGGGATGGGGACAGACCCTCACACCTGCCCCGCTCACCCTGAGGGAGCCACAGAAAGGATCTTACACAAAACCGCCACAGTCGGTTTAAATTCACCATAGGTGGCCCAGCACCTGCAAAGAAAATCTTCCAGAGGTTTGACAAGCCCCAAACCCGCGGAATCTACCTGAATCCCTGCAGAAATGAGGCCTACAGGCAATGATAAACATTAAGGTGGGACAAGCCGATGTAATTGCGCATTGAGGTGCCCCTGACGGGCCATGGGGCTGTTTCGGGCAGCAAACGATCAGAACGGGACCGGAGGCACAGATCTGCCTCATGCCTGAGCAGCAGGTACGTGAGATGTCTTACCTCACGGGATCTCTCTCTCCCTCACTCACAGGGTAATCTTTATCCTCAAGACATTAACTGCGATTACAGATGGGGACTGTAATTAAACCCTCCGGCCCCGCGCGGCTCCCGAGGGGCGGCGCGGACGAGCGACCCTCATCCGGGATGGCGGCGGCGCGCGGCTTCCCTGCCCGCACCCAACATGGCGGCGGGGCCGAGCCGCCCCCGCAGCCCCTCACGGCACAATGTGCACGCCGGGGCCATTGCCCGTATTCAAGATGGCGCCCAAGGCGGTGATTCCCATGCCCTGACCCCACTCAAGATGGCGGCTCCGGGTGTCAATCCGGCCTCCTTCCCGCTCTGAAGATGGCTCCTCCCAGCCGCCTCCCTCCGCCTACCGAATGGCGCCGCGCACTGGCGCGTCGCCCCGCCCCCATGCCGTCAGCAGCCAATCGGCCTCGCGCGGAGCTCCAGGGCGCCAACCCCGGGAGGCGGGCGGTCCCGCCCCCCGTCAGGGTGACAGCTCCGCTGACCAATGGGACGCCGGCGCGGGCGAGGCGGGCCAGGCGGCGCCGCCATTTTGTGAGTCTATAACACGGAGCGGTCGCGCTCGTCCCGCTATTGCGGCGCCTCCCCTCCGCTCCCGACGGGTCCTCTCCGCGTGCAATGGACGGGTGAGTCCCGCCCGGCGCCGCGCCGGGGCCGCGAGCGCTGCCGCCGGGCCCCTCCCGGGCTGCGGAGGCGGCCGCGTCGGGGACCCGCGCCGGGGGCTGGGGCGGTACCTGTGGGGGGCCCGCGGGCGCGGCCGGGGCGGGCGGGGGGGTCTCGTGTGCGGGCGGCACCCCCCAGACCCTTCCCCGCGGGCGGCGGCGGGAGCGGGGGCGGCCCCGGCGCGACACCTCGTGCGGGCCGGTCCCGCGTGCGCTCCCGCCGCTCCGGGGGTTCCGCCCGGGGGGCGCTCCGGGGGTCCCGGCCGGGAGAAGTTCCGGGCGTCCCGGCCGGAGGGGGGTCGGGGGGTCCCGCCGGAGCCGGGCGGGGGGCGGCGGGCCGGGAGCGCCGCGGGGGCGGGCGGGCGGCCCGGGCGCGGCCCCGCGGGGGCGACGCGGGCGGGGCGGGCGCACCTGGCGGGCGGTGATTCACGGCCGCGCTCCCTCCCATTGTCTGGCGCTTCCGCGGGCGGGGGCGGGGGGGCTCTCGCCGGGCTCCTTTTGTGGCCGGGTTTCGGTCGCCAAGTTTCGCAGGGGCGGGCGGGCAGGGCTCCGCCGCCGCCTCACCTGAGCGCCGCAGGTACGGCCCCGCTCCCGCCGGCCCGCGGAGCTGCGGGAGGACGCTCCGCTCCGCAGCCCCTTCGCCGGGAGTTTCCAGAGCGCAACTTTTGTCGCGTCGGTTCCTCTTTAACCCGCCCGGCGGGGCCTCGCTGCGGCAGAGTTGGCTCTAAAGCGGGTGTTTTATCAGGGGATCTCTCGAAAGCGAGATCTCCGTGCTTCTCTCATCCTGTATGGCGTAGTTTTTTTTGTGATCTGATTTTTTGTTTCTTCTAGCGCTCAGTAGTTAAAATATTTCTGAAGGCCTCCGAGTGAGCAGTTTGTTTTCCCACAGCCATAAGTACGGGAAGCCCAAATTAGTGCCTTCTCGCTTTCTGCCTCGGAACACTGGTCTGGGGAGAATTAGGCATAGTCACATGTCTGGGTTTTTTTACACACTGAAAAAGTGGCGTCTCAGTGTTGTTTTCATCTTAAACCCCATAAAAATCGTGTATCTTACAATTTTTGCAGTCCAGGATCGCTCTGCTGCTTTTAACCAGTTGCTCACCATGTTGAATGATATTAAAAAAAAAAAAAAAAAAAAAAAAAAACAACAAACCAACAAGTTCTCAGCACATGAGATCACACATTCTAGTGGCAAAAATCGGTTTGATGTCAGCTGTGGTTCCTGGGAAGGCTGGTGTTCTGTGCGTGTTAAAGTAGCTGCTATTTGAATGTAGAAGTTTTAGCGAAACGCGCGAGTCTCAGTTACCCCTCGTCTTTTGGAGATCCTGGTGCGGGATATGTTTGCGCTGTAAAAGTGTCCCCTGTCTCCTGCTGAAACTTCAAAAGCTGCTTCAGAGAATGGTTTTAAGTTTTGCCGAGCTGGCAGCGAGCAGCCCCCTGGCTCCAGGCTGCTCCCGTCTCCTTCTCCCGAAAATGATCTCGAGTGATCCCCTTTGAATAAGTTGCTTTGTTAAAACATGCGAGGAGTCCGAAATGCTGCTTTGGAAAATGACCTGGAGGTTTTACTGGTGCTGCTTAATTTTTCCCCTTATTGCGTAGGAATTATCCATTATTCCATGGGAAAAAAATAATTTTTATGAAGGGCTTTTTTGCCTGTTCTTTCGGAACTGGGAAAAGTTTTAATCCCATCCTGAAGGCTGATGTGCATGAGAGGAGAATGAAGCTTGGGATAATTTATTGAGAGGGTGTGTGAACTGGAAGTACATCTCACATTTGAATAAAAATTCTGAAATACTGAAATACTGTGGAGCTTGTTTCCTGTGGTATTTGTTATCAAGTGGGCTGCAATAATATCCCAGGAATCGATAGCTCTTGGCAAATAAAACAGCTCTTCCTGTTGGATGGTTCTAAATGCCATTCCCTGCTAAGGCACTTTATGTAAAACATTTCCTGTGCGAGAGGCCCACAGGAGGAACAGGAAGTGGGAGAAACTGCTGGGGTAAGTTCGAGAGTTTGGGAAACCTGGGACATCCTGTGTTCTGGCTGTGCTTCGTTGGCAGTAGCTGTTCTGAGGTTGTGGAGATGCCTGGGTTAATGTTTGTGTGTTAGCTGAGGAACGTGTGCCGTGTTCAGTGATGCTGGTTCCTTGAACTGCTCCCCGCAGATGGGTTTCATTAGTTCGTTGCTGCTGCCCCTCGGGTGCAGCCAGCTCGTCTGCCCTGCGGGTGCCCAGCTCTGGGCCACGGCCTCCTCCGAGCACTTCCCTGGAAAATGCGGAACTATCGCGTGGCTTCCCACAGCAGCCGTTGGGTTGGGCTGTGGCTCCAGCTGCAAAGCGCTGGGTTATGATGACACGGCAGGTTGGGGGGAAGAGGAAGTGTGAGGAGCTGAGCTGGCTCCTGCTGGGGCTCCTTCGTGGAGCTGGGGACGCTGGGACGGCCTAATGAGATCGAGCAGGATTTAATTCCCTGAAAAGTTATGAACCGTTGCAAGAGGAGAGGGAGGTAAGAACTAGCAAACGCAAGTTCTCTCACATTAACTCACCATGTCAAGTTGTTTTTGAGTACTCCAGGTTTCATAGTGCTGGCTCAAGAACGACTGCCCTGCCTGCCTTGTGTCCCCCTGCTCTGTGGAGCTGCTGCAGGTCGGTCAGCCGGCCACCGCCGGGTCCTGTGCTCTGCGGTTACAGGCAGCTCTGTGAGAGGGGGGGAAGCGGCCAGGGCTGTGGACACGGCAGTCCAGAGGGGTCGTTTCTGCTCTCGGTTTTGTGTTGATGCTTTGCAGGGGGTTGGAGTTTATTAAAAAAAGATGCAATCTCCAGTGCGAGGGTATAACTGAAATCCTTAGGCTGTCCTGAGCACTTCCACGAAACAGTAACGTGGAGGTGCTGTAAGGCTCTGGGAGATTGTAGGCAAGCATTCCAACTGCACTGGTGGAAGATGTTGCTCTTAGGTGGTGTGTGTTGTGGTGTAGAGAATTCACTGCTGACAGGAGCTGGGTTGTTTGAGGTACAGCTGGTGCTAATTTTCATCTTAGTTAATCAGAAAGTCTCATTTTAGAAGGTTTAAGTGTCTTAGGTAGAGTTTAACGAGTGATTTTTGCTAGACTTGATAGAGGAATCCTGTGTAGGGCGTACCCCAGGCTGGGACTGCCTGTACATCCCCTGCTGTGGCTCCAGTGGTGCCGGCGTGGCCTGGAGGGCTGCTCTGAGCCTGGAGGGCTGCTCTGAGCCTGGAGGGCTGCTCTGAGCCTGGAGGGCTGCTCTGAGCCTGCCCCAGCTCCTGCTCCCCGGGGACACAGCCAGGCTCTGTCCCGGGACCGCTGGAGCTCTGGCGTTGGTGTGTGCAGCCCTGCTGGAGCTGGCCTGGGCCTGGCAGAGGCTCCGGGGGTGTCAGGGGGACAGGACCCGCAGGAGGGGTTGTTGGTGGCAGAGCTGACTCTCTTCCTCTCGGTGTGGTCAGACGGGGTTGCATTGCTGGGCTCGGGGGTGTTCGTTCCTACCCCCCCAGGCCCTTGCAGGAGGAGCAGGCGCTGCCATAGGGAGTGGGAGAGCTACAGTTTTCTGGCACTGCTGGGTCTTGGGTCTCCACCATCACCATCTAATAATTTTTCTTTGTATAAACTGTCCTTGGCTCACCTGCAAAGACAACTGTGCACTTTGACTTGCTTTTTTCTTACTACTGTAAACTATGCTGGATTTTTGTGGCAAACCTATCTAACTTTTTTAATCCTTTTCTTTCTTTTTTCTACAGCATTGTCCAAGATATAACAGTTGGTACAAAGGTAGGCACTTCTCACTTTTTCTCTCTTTTTACACTGCTCAGCATCTGACCTAGTTTTAGCCTTAACAAATGTAGATCCTCAGCTGTAAAGGGTTATTTCTGGTACCATTTAAATTGGTTTTAACCAGAAGGTAATTCAGTTTCATGTGCATTTAAAACTTATAATATGGCTCAGCATTTAGCTCTTGGCATTTGGACATTGATTATCAACTTTATTGCATTTAGGAACAGTCTAAAATGTCGAGCCATGCTTGTTACTCGTGTGCTAGACAATGCTTCTCCATGGAGAAACTGATCCTTTTCCTTTGGAAAACTCCGTTTCCTTCGTTTGTGTGAATTCCTGTTCAGTTATATGTCAGAAATCCTTCTGCCACAAAAGGGAGCGTTTAGCTGCTGATTTTTATTTCCTGCTAGTACAGCAAATATGACCTTTGCCTTTCTAGTCTGAGGTTTGGAAAGCGCAGCCTTAGCCCTAAACTCAGAGTGCTGAAAAGGAGGCTCCTTATCTGCTGCGGGTGGCAACAAGGGTCAGCGCTGGTGCTGTGAAATGCAGGACTGGAATGTGCAGGACAGCCCGGCCCTCCTTCCCGGGCTGAAGGGCTGGCTTTGACTCTGGGGTCAGGACTGCAGGGAGCTCAGCCCCGTGTGAGTGTCGGCCCTCGGCGAAGCGTCACCGGCGGTGACCGAGAGCTGCCAGTGGCCCTGGCGGGGCTGGGGAAGGGGTGCCAGGGGGAGAGAGGCCGAGGGATGGGGCTGGTGGAGCCTGGCAATGCCACGGGAGCCTGGCAGTGCCACGAGCCGGGTGTGAGCATCGCACAGAACTCGCTGCTGGAAGTACAGAGTGAGCTGTGGCTGCAGCTCAGCACAGGCAGCTTTGGGGGTCTGAGAAGCATTAAGTGCATGAAGGGGCTCTAAGGGCTGTAGGGGGAAAGGTTGCTCCAGCTTTTCCTCCTATGTGAATCTGAAATTTGAATTAGTGATAGTGTCTGGTTCTGGCTGAGAATGCTGCCTGCTGCAAGGAGTGCAGTTTGCCATCGGATGCAAGGAGGAGAGGCTTGAGCCTGGACAACAAAGGTTAGTTAATAGTTCACAGCCATTATGAAAGGTGGACCAAGGCATCCCTTGACACTATAGAGCAGTTTGCTCTGCTTTATTGTTTTAAAAGGCAGGCTGCTGGCCTTTTATTTTATTATTTTTCACATCCTTAATTTACATATTAAGAGTATTCACACCCACTTATTAATTTTTCTGAGATCTTAGTTTAATTTAGTTTCTTAAGAAGTGCCCAGATGTCCTCGTGGCTCACTCCTCTGAGCACTGTACTGCCCGATGGTCTTATTTTTAATCAGGTGTAATTGTAGTAGCCATTCCTGGCTCCTCAGTTTAAAGTGTGTGAATTTGTTTAGGAAGCTCATTGCTATTCTGGTGTGGGGATTCCTGATGCACAGCCTTCTGGGATGTCCTGCAGATTAGGAACACATGATATAAGACTCACTTCTTCCCATAATTTCACTGCTGTCTGAAGAGGAAGTATGGCCCTAAGATGGAGGCCTGAGGTGCTGCTTTGACCCTGCAGTTTCCTCTTCCAAGTAGTCTGATCGAGGTCCCTCTCTCTTGTATCTCCTTGCCCTCTGTTTAATTTCCTTGGATATCACTGTTCCTTCACACTCTTAACAGTCTCTGAGCAGGACTGACTGACTAGAGAGAGGATGAACTGTGACATGTCCTTCTTTAAGTGAAATTGCATTTTGGTGATTGAAAAAGTCTCAGAATAGTTTAGGTGCTGAATAATCCTGTAGTTTCTTGCTTAAGTTAGCTCTGCTCGAAAGATTTTGCTTCCATAAACCAAAAGTGCAGTTCTGTGGTGTTTGAGAAGTTAATTTTTAAAACAGGCTTTGCTGGAGTGTGATAGAGACTGACTGCATAGAAGTGATTTGTGGTGAAGCCAGGATCTTTGCCATGGGAACCGTAATTATGGCTTCAGGCAGAGGGCCAAGAATGTTGTGAGGAAATTCCAGTCCCCTCCTATGGCTTTAGTTAGAGGCTGCAACAAGCTGGCTCTTGTGGCCTCCCAACAGGCGTGAGCACACATGGGAGCCACATGTTGGTGGCAGGGGACATGGGTGGCAGTGGGTCAGCTGGGTGTGCCAAACAGCTCCATCTCACCTGAGAGTGCCACACGCTGCCTTATGCACCTGGGTCTTGAATTTATGTATCTGCTCATAAAATGCTTGTAGAAAATACTGGATTTTAAGCTCAGGCCTACTTTGCCCTCAACCTGGGACGATTTAAAAAAATAGGAAAATAACACGTGACAGTTACTCAACTGCGCCTTTTTAATCCCACAAGTGTAGGGATAGATTCTGATCTCTGACTGATGTCTCCTTCAGGTACTGTCAGACTGGAAAATGCAGGTGTGCTGGTGCCACGTTTGTTGTTCTCATACCAGCAAGAAGGGGAAGCATTATTTAATTTCAGATTCCCCATGGCTCTGCTACAGCTCCTTTAAGCTGTGCTTGCTTGGGCCGGTGTTTGAGCCGTCCCATCCATCAGCCCTTTGACAGGTGGGGCAGAAATGTCCTTCCACAGGTTCTGTATTCCTGGAGTGACTCATCCAGCAGTATTTCTCTCTCATAGGATTTGTGTTGAGCTTTGCCAAGGCCCCCTCTGCTCCATGGCAATGATTTAAAAGCTCAAGGTTGACGGGTAGTTAAGTTTCAGCTTGGGAACAGTAGATCATAAAGCCTGGGTGTGTACTGCCCTACAGAGCCAGCATGACTGCATTGCTGTAGCACTTGGAGTTTAGGAATTTTGGGCTATTTAAACTGGCCACACCTTTTATTTGCTCAAAGGGCAGGTTTGTTTCACAGGGTGTCTCCATAGTAGCAAAGACTGAGAAAGTGGGGAGGGGCTGGTGGATGAGTGGGTTGAGGATCCGGCTTTGCTGTGTGGCTGGTGTGTGCTCGAGCTCAATGCAGCTTGTTGCCAAAGCTCAGGGTGTGAGCAGGTGCTCTCGTGCAGCACTGGTGGCTTTTAGGACCTCCAGGGCTCTCGTCTGTAGCCCATAGAAACAGTGCCGGCGCTTGCAGCAGTACCATGGTAGGAACCTGCCGTGCTCTGACCAGCTCACCCGCCTTCAGAGGGGCTGGGAGTGTGTGTGTGCCCAGTGTGCCAGTGGGGATGCCAGTGTGGAGCTTGACGTTGGCTCCTCTGGAGAGGTACCAGCCTGAATCTTGTCCAGGCACGAGGGAGGCTGTAACAAGTTTTGAAAGCCTGAAGTGGCAGGTGACTGGTGTTGGCTGAGCAGAGTGTGGGTTAAAAATAAGTGTCCTCTGCGCCTGCTAGATAGGCTGATGCCCCTACCACAGGTCCACTGTGTCCATGGAATATGCTGACTGCTGGGTTGAATTTAATTTGGTTAATGGTATGGAGCTTTCTTGGTACATCAGCCATGAGCAATTTGGTGAACTAAATTGAACCCAACTCTTTTGGTTCTGATCAGATGATAAATTTTGTGTCCAAAGGGTGAGTGACACTGAGCTGGGAGCAGCATCGTGCTGTGATGAGGCTGCAGGGTCTTGAAGTTGCTTTGTGTTGGCCTTAACTTCCCAGCGTCCTGATGGGGATGCAGGTGTGGTGTGTGTTCTTCAGAGGTGTTTCACAAAACAAGTTGGCTCGTGGTTTGTGTTTCTGACCCAAATTGGAATGTTTTTCACACAACCTTTAAACTGACTGAAGAGTGCTGGAGGCAGGAGAGGGGAATAGAGGGAGAACATAAGGGAGCCTTGCTGGATGTGAGTCTTTGGTGGAAGAGGAGGAAAACTGGCATCCTTCCTAGTAGTTTAAATTTAGTTCCATTCTTGAATCTCAAATCTCTCGCAAAAACTGTTGGAATGTAACATGAGTGTGATGATGATGTCATCAGACTGGATTTCTCTTAATAGTTTCTTCACAGAGATTTGAGCTGTGAACTGAAGGATCAGAGCGTTCCTGCGTCCCTCTGGGACGGACCTCGGACAGCCCTCGATGAGCTGCTCTGTTCCTCCTGGGCTCAGAGGCATTTTCTTGCCTCTTTGATCAGAGCAGAGGGTTTGCCTGAGCTCCTCAGTGATCTGTGTCATTTTTGTGAAAATATCACGGTGGTCTTTTGTTGGCTCCACAATACTTCTCCAGTCACAGGGAAAGTGAAGAGCAATGATGCCCACGTGCTCTGGCTTCTTGCAGGACAGATTTTCTTTGGTTTCTTTTCAGAGGGGGGTTTCCAGGTGCAGCTCTTCCCTGCTTTGCTTTCTGTAAGTGCCTGTTAGCTGATGGCCTGTTTGCCTCCATAATCCACCTTTTCCCTCACAAGTACTGCTATCCTGTGTCTGTCAGAGCAGCGTAAGATGCTCCACATCCAAAGGCAGGGAGCGCTGCTGCTCTGTAGGGTTTTCTCAGTGAGCTGGGGAGAGAAACAGCTTTTTGTAGATTTTGGGCTTGACCAACCTGTGCCTTCTGGCCTTTCTGGTCATTGCCCCTTTCCTTCTCATGTGCCCTGTCTTTTTGACGTTGCTTTAATTTTGTTTTCTATCTGAAAGTTGATTAATATCACTTGTTTGACTTTAAATGAATATTTTTATGATCGTTAACTTTGTTTTCTAGCCTTTTGCACAGGCAGGATGCAGTTGACTTACTGTAATCCATTTAAAATAAGTGCTGGATCTTAAGTAGATAAAGGATTATATAGGGCAGCTGGGAATTTCTGTAGCACTTCTAGGTATGCTGGTAGAAGCTGAGACAATCTCTGGCCTCATTCCAGAGTGTGGTAAACCAGGTAAAATCCTACTGGCAGTGAGGCAGCACGTAGTGTATGTGAATGAGATGTTGCTTTTTAAGATGTGAAAGCTTGTACAGACTAAAAATTCTGAAGACTCACTTGTTAAAACTTTAAAGCAAAGCAAGGCTTTGAGTTTGGGTGGTGGTCAAAAAGATAACTGGAGAACATATGAAATGTTAAGTTGTACCTTGCCTCCCTCTCCATGGCTCAGAAAAGGGAACGAAGTGTTGGCAGCAGAGCTGCCCCAGAGTGTGATTAAATTAGTGCAGCTTGGGCAAGGGGCCTCCTGTAGCCAGGAGTGTCAGGCCAGAGGAGGCTGCTGGCATGGAAACCCCTCCCGGCAGGGTTTCTGTGGTGCCATTGTGCTGCTCCCTGGGGATTTGGGTGGTGGAAACAGCCCTACTCTGCTCTAGGTGGGATCTGGCAGTGTAACTCCAGAAGTGGTGGTTGTTTTCAGTCAACAGGAAGAGGAGATTTGTTAGTTCAAACGAGGAATTTGATGTGCTTGCTGTGGCTTCTGTTAATCTTGTCATAAAAATACCAGCTGCAAACGAGTGGCTGAGCAGAAATGTCAGCATAATTAATGCCTCTGTGAGCAGGGATGGGAACTGGGGGCTGGAGAACCATATCTTGAAGTGCAGCTGGGCCTCCCCCAACAACTCAGCAAATGCAGCAGGGAGAGAAGCAGTGCTGTGGGTGGATGTGGGTGTGAGCACTGAGCACCCACACAGCCCTTGCTGGGTTTGCTTTGTTTTAAACCTAAATTAAATTACATAAAACTTTGGAATCAATAACTTTTCTGCTGGCTTTCCCAGTATAATTCAAAATACCCAGTGGGTACGTTGTTAGTGAGAAAGTCTTCTAAACCTGTTTAACCAACCAGACTTGCTTTGGTTCCTCTGCCTCTACTGAATTGGGTACTTGGTATGAAGCATTTGAATTTATGCTGTGGTTTTACAGAAACTCTTCAGAGTTTTTAATATGTACAGAAAGAACAGACTAGACGAGTCTGGAAAGAGACTGGCGATCCCTGCAGTGTAAGGGCAGAGAGCTGATCAGGGCTGCTGAGCACCCACTGCTGGGGGCAGGGTCATAGAGAACTGGGTTTCAGTTTGCCTCGGGTTTGGTCATTCCAAAAAGGAGTGATTTCCTGTGGCTATCCAGTATGAGCTCCAAAAGGAACGGAGGAGGAACACACGCGGATGAAAAGTCGTGGTCGATGCAACCTCCTCGTGCTGGGCACTGGGCTGTGTGGGGTGGGGATGGCAGCTCAGGGTAACCACTGCAGCTCCTTGGGGCGCTGGGTCTGCTCCTCTTGCCCTTCAACAGCCACCCCTCTAAAGGGAGATGTGGGAAATAACTTTGCTGTGACTGTGCAGTACTACATGTACTGTCTGTAAACTTCCTTGTGTAGAGAAAAGACCTTGGAATAACTGCGGTTTTCCAACTACGGCAGTCTTCCTCTTCGTTTGCATGTACTTCCAGCTGGGAAGCTTACAAATTGGCTGCTGCTGCTTTTGATGTCGAACAGTCAGAACAGTCATCCCCCTCTGCCTCCCGGCTCTGGTCGCAGTGGGCAGCACAGGCTGTCTCCAAGATAAGAGGGGAGTGGACTGGAAATTGCTCTCGTTAAAGAGACACAGACACGACATGGACACGTGGAGTCCAAGCCTGGCTGCAGTGACATCCTTATCACAGGGCCTGCCAGGAAGTTTTCAAATATGCAAAAAAATGTTTACTTTAAACAAGCCATTAGGAAAGTTAAATTCAGGGAATAGAAATTCTTTCCGTAATAGTATAAATGCTTGTTTTTCCAGTTTCTAGTTTCCTAGTGTTGCCTCCATGAGAGCCAAGTATGTGGCCTGTTCTCCTGGAGTTTGCACGATGGATTGCAGGAGTTGCCCAGTATGCTTGCATGGACACACTGAGTTGTACTGGAAGACCTGGGGTTCTGGGTGTGCAGAATTTTACGAGTTAATATTTAGGAACATGTTTTAAAATGGTGAAGGCCCGTTAAATCCTGATGCGAGGGCTTTCCTGAGGCCAAAACCACCTGTCTGTGTGGGCAGGACTGTGCTTTGGTCGATGGTTCTTGTCAGCAGCTGCCAGGTGGATCCCAGGCCACAGCATGGGAAGCTGTACCTGGAGTGGCTGCAGCAGTGTAGGCACAAGAGTGTTCTTACAGTTAAACTGGGGGATTTCTTTTAGCCTTGGATTTATGCCTTGATTTGAGTCATCAAAGGATGGGCTCACAGTCTAGTAGCCTCCCGGCCCAGCTTGCCTCTTGCTGTACTCAGGAATCAAAGTACTAATTAGACCAGCTGTTAAAAGGCCCGTTCCTAATGACTGCGCTGTGGGAGGAGGAGGAGGAGGCCGAGGCCTCTGTGCACAGAGCCTTGGTGGGACCTGGTCAGTGCTTGCAGGTGACCAGCAGCAGCACATGAACCACAGTTGGGAACCTGGCCTAATTCTCCTCTTTGGGACATCAAAGTCCTTGAAGCCTCTTTGAAGAGCTGGCAGTGAGTAGTCAAACAAGAAATTCAAGATTTGAGGGGGAAAGAAAAAAAAACCAAATTGTGTCTGTAGCTGGGTGTTCTGGGGTTCTCGGTGACCTACTTTCCCAGCCTGTTTGCTGGGAGAGTGTGCAGAGCTTTTCTTCTGCAGAGATCCTGTTTCTGCAGGTGCCACCAGATACAGGGCATGTGGAAGATAAGGGTTTCTGGTGCCACGGTGTGGAGCGGGGTATGTTTCCATCAGGGTGGGTGGGAGTTAGCTGAGGCAGGGATGAGCTCTGAGCTTTTTTGTATGATGAAAGCCTTTTAGTGTGGCATTTCTGTGGAAGAGTAATGTAGAAAATTATGAGAAAGTACTCTTATGTGTTAAATCTGTAGTATCATGCTCACTCACAATTTACAATGGGATTTGAAATCTTCTGTGAAACTTGAAATTAAGCCATGCTGATTGTAAGCTGTATTGTGTATGCAGGTACAGATTGTGCTAAGAAGTCATTCGTAGTCACGTTTACTTTTGTCTTAGTAGTGTTTTTCGTGCCTCCTACTTGGGTTAGACCAGTCCTGGTCAGTCGAGGTGGTTTGTGGGACTTTCTGGGGAATGTTGTTACCAGAAGACACCTTCCACCAGATCAGGGTGCTCCAAGCCCTGTCCAGCCTGGCTGTGAACACTTCCAGGGATGGGGCACAAAGTACATAGCTTTGGTTCATAACTGCCAAGTCATACCCAAAGAGTTTTGGCAGCTTCAGAGTGAAAATGCTGTGGGATGGGAGCAGTCAGAAACCTGTTGTGCTGGGTACGGCAGGAGAAGGTGCCGGTCGGTGCACGGCGCTCGTGTGGTGGCTTCACACAACTCAGCAACACTCTGGCCCCAAGATCCCTAATGCTGAGCTGAAAAGAGATACTGGATAGTGCTGCTCCATTACCAAACTGGATCTGACTGATACTTAATTCATGGAGGTGAGCCTCACTGCCCACTGTCAGTATGTGTTCACTTACACTTGTGTTCAGCTCCTCTCCAGCTTTCTCTCAGTTGTTCTGCTTTAGGAGTGCCTGGATAGAATTGAGTAAAATGCTGTCTGTTTACCTTCCATCTGTTCTCTTCCAGCGGGGACCTGACGAGCTTTTCTCTCCTTGTGTTGCTAATGGACCCTTTATCATGAACAGCAACGCTGCTTCTTCAGGTAATATTATGTAGAAACAAGCACAGCAATTATTTCTAAGTATTGCAAGTACTGTGAGGAGATCTGGATTTTTCCTACGTAGTTGTAATTTTAAAATCTCTTCATTTTTCGTACTTATTAGACCTTTGTAGGACAGTGCTGAATAATAATAATAAACTTTTGCCAAGAATGCCAGGCCAAGTGGAAAGGAATAAAGCAGCAATCTGGGGTTAGTGGCTCAGGCCTGCACTAGAAATGTGGGTGGGTGTGTGTGTGCTGTAAACAGGCTGTGCAATGGCCACTGGAGAGTTGATTCCATTGCAGTGGCATTCAGCTATGTCACTCCCATCGTGTAATTTGGGGGGAAAAGAGAGTAAAACCATGTGTTTTCAGACTCAAGTTAAGTTAACTGTGGAATTTCTCTGTAATAGAGCAGTAACTGGCTGGGGAGCACAGTCTGTGTGTCAGCATTTGGGAAGTGCGTGCTTGTTCTTCCAGACCCTTCTCATCAGCAGTGACTCCCGTTTCTTACAGATAATGGAAATGACAGCAAAAAGTTCAAAGGTGACAGTCGAAGTGCTGGGGTCCCATCCCGAGTAATCCACGTCCGTAAGCTCCCCAGCGACGTCACGGAGGCAGAGGTCATTTCTCTGGGCTTACCTTTTGGCAAGGTCACCAATCTTCTAATGCTGAAAGGAAAAAACCAGGTATTGTCTCCATAACTGAAAGCAGGGATTGTGTCAAAGGCTCGATGAGTTTGTCATCGGGAAACCAGCTCCAAATTGTTTAAACAACTGCCGTGTGTTAGGAGTCAATAACTTCTGCATTACTCTTATTTTACTTTTCTGTGATTATCCTATGAGCTGTAGAAAATACTATTTTCAGGCTGCAGAAGGAGCTCAGTCCATAATTACAGGTTGTCACTTATAATTAGCGTTAGGCCTGGTTTGGAAATTGCAGACCAGGGAATTATTTGAGCAGCAGTGTCATGAGTTGGCCTTTTTCACTCGGGCTGGCTGGGCAGCCGAGTTAGCAGCGTGCAACGTGGCCTATTGAGGACACCTTTCCAGATCCAGTAAATGAGCTGCGTGAGGCTGAAACACTCTTGGGTAATGCAGGAGGTGTGCACTAATTTGGTAACTAAAATTGTCTTGCAAATTAAGGAGTAAAAAAGCAAGTCAACTTTAATCATTGCTTAAAATGATGTCTTTAATCTTAATTATGGAAAGGTGCCTCTGATATATTGCGTGGTGTGATTATACATAAGTGCTTACTGCAGTGACTCGCTACAGTCCCTTACGTTTGTGTTCTGAGGGAGAGAAGCCCCTGGGGGGGCAGAGCAGCGAGGGGGCTTCCTGCCCTGGAGAGAAGTGAAGGGTGGATTGTTGCTGTATTTTTGTGTTCTTGCAGACACTTATGTCTAAATGCACATAGGGAGATCTTAGGGTGACACTGAAGCTATTGCATTAAATGAGTCTGGAGAGGGAAGATCCTGGTTTGTTCTGCTTACAGTCAGCTCTTAAACAGTTCCGTGTGTGTAAGTGGGTTGTGAAAATCCAGTCCTGCTACGGCTTCGCTGGAGGTTCTGTTCAGGGTGACCTGCTGCTGTCCTGGTGTGACGTGTCTGTGTTGGGTTTGACTCCCCAGGCTTTCATAGAGATGAACACAGAGGAGGCAGCCAACACCATGGTCAACTACTACACCACGATCGCTCCCATGCTCCGGAGCCAGCCCATCTACATCCAGTTCTCCAACCACAAGGAGCTGAAGACAGACAACTCTCCAAACCAAGCAGTCAGTTTGTTCTTTGTGTTGTCGTCCCAGGGTGGGGGGACAGCCAGATCTCAGCTGGTAGATTGAGATCCAGGGGCTTGGGTAATGTCTGGTGCTTCAGGGCGTTTGTTTCTGGTGTTTGAAAGATTTCTGCAGAGTGCAGCCCTGATGAGGCAGAGCTCACCGGTGGTGGAGCACAGCCTGGTGCAGGTAGGTGCAGCTTCAAGGCAGCACCTGAACCCAGCAGGTCTTCAGGCTCGCTCTGGGCCCTTGAGGGTTTCTGTGCACCACACACTCTGCTGAGGGGAAAAAGTTCCTGTTTTCAGCTCAGCTGCTCTTGGCAATCTTGTAGGACGGGAACACTGGAAAGAAATTCAAGTTACTTGTGGGTCCTTATCAGGATGACTGCCAGTACATCCCCTTTGCCTCCTCTCCCTTTTCAGGATCAGAGCACCCAATGCTGTGCAGAGGGAATGCTGCTGCTGGGTGACATTGCTATTGGTGCTCTCGCAGCTGGAGCACATGTGTTGTGTGTGAGAGGGCTCTGCAGGAACACCCCCAGGCAGTTCTCACTCCTGAATCCCTGTGGCAGATATGCATCAATCTTTCAGTCTTGTCAGCTTCTCTAGGATTCTGGAGATGGCGTTTCACCCCAAAAGAGCCTCATTTTTCCCCTTTTTATAACTAATGGGATAATTTTGCTGCATCTGTTGATGCTGAGCAAGGTTGATTTAGTTTGCATTTTTGTGTTGCCCTGACTGGTTGGGGTGGTCTGTGTTGGCCCTGTTTCAAATGTGCCAAAGCCGTGGCATCCGCAGCCTTGGGAGCAGCACGGGGCTGTCGTGCTCGCTGCTGCATCCAGCTGGTTGTTTGCGAGCAGGAAGCTCCAGGGGGGCTGACAGTGTGTTTTTGCAAGCAGAAGTGTGGGTCTGACAGGGTGTTTGGTCCTGCAGCGTGCCCAAGCAGCTCTGCAAGCCGTGGCCACGGTGCAGACCGGGAACCTGGCGCTGGCAGCCACGGCTGCGGCCGTCGATGCGGGAATGGCGATGGCTGGGCAGAGCCCTGTCCTGAGGATCATTGTGGAGAATCTCTTCTACCCCGTCACTCTGGATGTTCTGCATCAGGTAAAACACGTCCCCACAACTGCTTGAGGTTCCTGGAGGAAGGGGCAGCAACACCTGGTGCGTTGTTGTATTTGCAGTGTCTCTGGTTTGCGTTTGTACAACGCGAGTTCTGAACAGAGCTGTCAGACTTCTCTGGAGACCTGACACCTACAGGAGATTGGTCCCACTCTGGCCAGACTTTAATTTCCAGAGGTTTGATTCCTGGTCCACTTTAATTAGGTTGATTACAGTTCCTCAAGTTCTCTTTAGGTTTTAGCAAAAGTAGCTGCACCTTGTCCTCACGCCAGGGCAGAGGAAACGTACAGTGTCCAGGAGCCATTTAGGCAGTGGCCAGTTTGGAAAGTTCCCACTGTCTGCTGCAGTTGCTTAACTTCATCTTCGTGTTTAAAATGCACGCTTGACTGCATTAAAGAATCCTTGAAATTCCTGGAAAAGGTCTAGTTTGTGAAGGTATTTGTGAATCTTCCTGTGTAATAACCCAGAACAAACAAACTGTGTTTAGGGGGTGGTTCAATCACTCTGGTGTGTTCTAGGCTGATGCCCAGGGTGTGGTTTAAAACCTTCAGTGTTTCAGTTGGAAGTTGACAGGCTGAAAAGATGACTGTTGTTTCTGCATGTGATAAGAGATCAATAATCAATATGAAATTATCTTACTGGTAATGTGATAACAAGATATCCAAATATTATCTTGCAGATTTTTTCCAAATTTGGTACAGTCTTGAAAATCATCACATTCACAAAGAACCACCAGTTTCAGGCCCTGTTGCAATATGCTGACCCCATGAGTGCTCAGCATGCCAAACTGGTGAGTGCTGCACGCCTGGATTACTCGGTCGGGTTTGCCTTGGTTAATCCAAGCTCAGGTGGGATGCTGGCATTGGGATGTGCTCGGAGGTGCTGCTGGGCTGGCACCAGCATTGCCCTGAGGGCAGAGCATGAGTGGGAGGGAACTGCCCCCACATACAGCGTGGGTGGCTCAGGGGCTGCCAGAGGGGCCGAATGAGGCAGAGCTGTCTCTACAGGAGATACCTGCCTGTCCTCAGGTGGAGCCCTGGGGTGGCCTAACACCTCTCTCCAGAGAGCACTTGCTGTGAGCTTGGTCTGAGCGCATTTGGGTGAGGACTGGTTTGTTTCCTCCCAGTCTCTAGATGGACAGAACATCTACAACGCCTGCTGCACGCTGCGCATCGACTTCTCCAAGCTCACGAGTCTTAATGTGAAGTATAATAACGACAAGAGCAGAGACTACACCCGCCCAGACCTGCCCTCTGGGGACAATCAGCCCACTCTGGACCAGACCATGGCAGCTGCTTTTGGTGAGAGTTCGGGGAGTGGGAGCAGAAAAAATCCAACTGGGAGGTGTGTGTGTGTCAGTGTGGGAAGGGGAGGGGGCGTCATCCTGGTGTGTTCGGTCAGAACTTCAGAATGCGGTGTGAGTGGGGAGGAAAAGCCGGGAATGGCCGAGGATGGGAGCAGTGCGGGACGCCGGGCGGGTCTGCCGCCACCTGGTGTTCGCCCTGAACACTGCGCGGGTTCGGCCTCTGCAGCGAGGGCCTTGTGTCCCGGTCACAGCTCGTCCTCGGGGCTGTTTCAGTGGCCGCGTCCTCAGAGCTGTTCCAGAACAGCAGGGTTAGCAGAGGAATCGTTTCTGTAATCTCTTGAAGTTCAGTGTTACACAGGAGGCATTTTTGAACTGCTGTTTGCGTTTTAGGGTTTAGCTTTAAACTAAATGTTTGTGTTGAACAACAGATCAAGACATTACAGATAACTTTAGGGAGGTTTAGGTTAGATATTAGGAAAAGATTCTTCCCCCAGAGTGTGGTTGGGCACTGGAACAGGCTCCTCAGGGAAGTGGTCGCAACACAAACCTAACAGAGTTGAAGAAGCATTTAGACAGTGCTCTCAGGCACTTGGTGTGATTGTTTGGGCTGCCCTGTATAGGGCTAAGAGTTGAACTCAGTGATCCTTAAGGGTCTGTTCCAACTCAGAATGTTCCGTAGTTTTGGGAAATGTAGCATTTTCCTGCTGTTGTATGTCTTTGCATAATGTATATGTCTTTCCCAGGTGCCCCAGGAATAATCTCTCCTTCTCCATATGCAGGAGCTGGCTTTCCTCCTACTTTTGCCATTCCTCAGGCTGCAGGTACTGTATTTCATAAGTTGAAATTTTACGTAGGTTTTCTGTTGTTGAAACCTCTTGATGTTTTAAGTCAAAGTAGTGGTAGTTTTTCTGGGGTTAGCCATGTAAATTCTAAATGCTGGCACTTGGGTATGGAAGGGACTGGTGTTCCAGTACATCACCTCAGCTAGGAACACTGTGTGCAGCTGCAGCACCTCTGGGCAGTCCTGGTGACAGGAGGAAAATACATGAAGCAGGATGGGAGAGACAGTAAAGACAGGGTTTAAAATAATTGAGGGACATGGGGAAGAGATACAAGTTCTTGTGCTTTGAATTTCCTCATGGGATTGCAGAGGTTGGTTAGTGGCCAGGAGTCTGAGATGAAAGATGGAGGTGCTGCACACTCACTGGAGTGCCAGTCTAAACAGGCTTTGCTGGGGCTCTCAGCATTCAAGCCGTGTTGACTTTCTGGGAACCTGATGGAATTTCCTTGCTTATGACAGACAAGCACAGACCAGGCTGTTGAGGCAATGCTGTTTTGGTAACATCCATCCCTGCTTGGGAAACAAGAAGGGCTGTTTGGGGGAGAAATCCATGGAATTGATCACTGGCAGTTGTTTCTCGAGCTCTGGAGCTCTTGGCCTTGGAGGGCCAGTACAGGAGGTGCCAGCTGGTTCTGGGAACAGCCCAGGAATGCCTGTAAATGCAGCTGCAGTGGTTCCCGTTCAGGAGAGCTGGGTGGTGGTGGCACAGGGTGCCTGGTGGTTGCATGCATGGTGAGAGCACGTTGTGCATGCCCTGGTTGGACGGACCCTCCCCATGCCCTGCGTGTGACTCCTGCCCTGCACAGCAGAGCTGAGGCTTTGTGCTCGTCCGCTGCTTGTGGAACGTGTGAGAGTGCTGAGGAACCTGCTCAGCACCGGGCACTGCAAAAGCAAGTCCTGTTAGAAACCAGAACATTTCCTGCAGCACCAGAAGCGGAGGCTCCTGTTGCCCTTAGGATACATGGTCACTGTTGGGAATGATGACTTGCATGGTTCAGAGAGTGTGCTGTTCTCCCTTCTGGTGCAGCAAATACACTAGAGTACATGCTGTTAATTCTTTACCGGTTAATATTCTTTAATTTCCAGGCCTGACAGTTCCAAATGTTCCTGGAGCACTAACTCCTTTGGCTATTCCAGCAGCAGCTGCAGCAGCTGCAGCAGGACGGATTGCCATTCCCGGCCTGGCTGGGGCAGGGCACTCCGTGCTGCTGGTTAGCAATCTGATCCCAGAGGTTAGTGCAGTCCTAACTTTACTTTTTTCTCCTTCCTGTTATCTCTGCTTTCACTTTCTGAACGTGGATTGGGCTGAAATTCATTGAAAGTGAAACCCTGCTGTACCCAAAGGAAGTGGCACCGCTCGAGCGGTGCCCGTGCTCTGCCGGCCCCACGTGCAGAGCAGAGCAGTACTCTAGTTCTAGTTGCTGAAGGGAAATGGGAAAGTCCATCTCAAATTGAAATTGCTCTTCCTTGGTTCAACACCAAGGATGCTGCCTGCCTGCTCTTGTCCCCCAGAGACTACAATGCCTGTCCCTTCTTCCCTTTTCTGTTTGGAGTCTCCCTGCCATTCCCATGGAATAGTGTCATTTGGGTCACAGAATAGCCATGTCCATTCCTTTTCCTTGGCATGTTGTAGTTTTTTAATACATTAATTCAGAACTACAGAGAGGCTTCATGCTGATCTTTGCTCTTTCTGTGTAGTGTCTGGATCCCTGCCAGCTTGACTTTGTACCTGTGCAGTATTTTCTCTGCCATGTGCTTGCACATTTCCCCCTTCCAGGATTTCTGGAAGTTTTTCCTTAGTTAAATCCCTTAACAGCTCACAGTTTACATTTTCAATTCTACTTAACTGAATGAGTTGAAATATTTGGGTTTCTTTAAAAATAAAGCAAGCAATAGTTGAACAAACATCTTCTTTAATGACAGACAGCATCATAAGGGAATTGGATACGGGGGGCTTGGATTTTCCTTCAGTCAGCCCCTGGCTCTGGTTGGATTGAAAGTGTGGAACCTCTGGTACGCAGCAGAGTGATAAAGCTCTGCTGAGGAGCTGTAACTGGTGGGACTGTGCACACACGTTAATAGCACTTTGCAAAGCTGTAAAACTTACCAGTGCAGAGTCACCACAAAACCTCTTTGGATCAAAGGGGAAGCCTGGATGTGATGAATGATCAAAATGTTTAGCTCTGGATGAGATGAACCAATTGGATCATGTTTCAGACTGCTCTTACCTGTCATTGCTGTTCTCTCCAGAGCATGAAATAATGGCAGGGGCTGTGGAACAGCTTTGGGATTTGCTGCTCGTGCTCCCTGGGAACTGCTCTGCCATTCCAGGGACTCTCATCTCTGGCTTGTTCCATCATAAGTCTTAATAAGAGCTGGCATTGTTATTCCTGACCAGTGATGCTGCCAAGTGTGTGCTCCAGGGATGCTCTTGGGTGCCTGGATGGCAGTGGCAGGACAACGGGTTGTGCTGCACCTCTTGATTTCTCACAGCCCCGAGCAGTGCCAGTGGGGACAGCTCTGTTCAGGCAGGAGCAAGCAGTTATTTCATGCCCTGTGTTTTTTGAGGAGCTCTTCACTCTCCATCCAGCTTGTCTTTGGGCTAGAGAGACTTTGGGACTTGGACTGAAGCTGTAAACTAACAGACATGAAACTTTTTCCATTGCCTGTATAATCAATGTTGTAGAAACTTACCTGTGCCACAACCAGTTAGTAAAGAAACAGTATTGCCTGGAGTGACTGCTCTGCAAATGAGGTGTCAGTCCCTTTATCCAAAGTGCTTACAGCAGGCCTTGGAGGGGGCTTTTGGGGCAGTACAGCTGCTCATCCAGATGATCTGTTCCCTTAAAGCAGTGCTTGGTATCCGTGGGGGATGTTCCTTTTTTCCTGCCAAGTGCTGTGGCACAGGTTGCTTCCCGCAGTGCCTGGCCCTGGAGCAGCAGATGTGGCTGTTTGTGACTTGGTTCATGAAGTCATTTCATCCAAGGAATTTGTGTAAATGGAGAAAGTCTTTTGAGTTAAATTTTAGGGAATGCCATCGTGATTGAATTGGGTGTTGCAGCCTGTGGAAGTCACTCCATGGGGATACTGTCTCTTACGTCTTTGTATATCTGAAGTAAAAATGCCTTTTCTTTATCATTGTGTTCCACTAGGTAAAACCTATTAACTGTTTCTGTAAGCGAGTTATTGTATGTAGAATTCTATAAATCTGACTGATGGAACACTACATATTCCTTATGTATTTACTGACCTGTGTTTTTTGCTACTTTTTTCTTTTCTCCCCATCCCTGAATTTTTTTTCTTCCCCTGATCCGGAATTTCTTTGCCAACTGACTGCACGGTACTTCTGCTTCCTGTTGTTGCTTGAAACAAAAAAAAAAAACATTCCCCTTTCAAAAAAAAAAAAAAAAAACCAAAACAAAAAAAATAAAAACCCTGCTCTTCGGAAACCAACCTGCCCTTCAATATTAACCATCTTGAAAACTTCATCATCCATCAACCAATTTCGCCATTTCCTGCGGGGACTCTGCCCTTCCTCGTTGTGGACGATTTGTGCAACCTCGCTCTCCCCTTCGATTCCTTACCTCTTCCCTGTCCCTCCGCTGCCTTGCTCTGCTGTTCTCTAAAGAGAGTTACACCCCAATGCCTCTTTATTCTTTTCGGTATGTTATTATTCACACTTTTTATTACCTTGTTTTTCATTTATTTGAGATTACTTTTTGATACTTCAGAAATGTACAGTTTGCAGTTTGCCATTTTTTTTGAATGCATAATTTTGGTTTTTACATTGTTTATTTAGTTTGCTGTTTAATTTAGTTTGCCTTTGGTTTTGGTTCAGTTCTGCATGGGTTATTGCTTTGCATGTCTTTGATAAGAGTTTTAAATTGTGAGAGCATGCAAAATTGTCCAGTCTTCTGGCAGTAAGATTTTGGCTTTTCGCTGAAACCCAGTGTCTTTTCTTTAATGTATTGTTCCATTATTATTCTGCTATGTAAGAATTCCCTTAATTAGAGCAGAATACGTAACCGTGGTTGAAATGAGATCAGTTCTGGTTGGGAATGGATTTTTTTGCTGTTGGATTGATTAGCTGATGTTAAGTTGAATGAGAACTTGTTTTGTTTTCCTATCTAAGACTGTTCTTGTTTACTCCCTCTTTGAAGGAGTCTATGGTGATGTGCAGAGGGTGAAGATTTTATTTAAGAAGCAAGAGAATGCCCTAGTTCAGATGACCGACGGGAACCAGGCCCAGCTTGGTAAGCTTGGGAGTGTCAGACTGGGCAGTAAGAGACAAAATGGGTAGTTAAAGCTTTAGCACTTTGTTCTCTTGCAAAAGAAGACCCAAACCCCGCACGTGGCCGTGGGGCAGCTCTGGGGCAGGGGTGGCTCGTGGGTGCAAGAGGGAAGCAGACTAAGAACACAGGGAGTCTGAGGGACCCTGCAGGGTGTGATGTCTGCGAGGGCAGAACTAGAGTGAAATTCTGGCTTTGAATTTGTGTCTGAACAAACCTGAAGTGCCCCTGCAGTCAGGTGTGTCCTCCCCCTTGCAGCCATGAGCCACCTGAATGGGCAGAAGCTGCACGGGAAGCCGATCCGTATCACGCTGTCCAAGCACCAGACAGTGCAGCTGCCTGGCAAGGGCCAGGAGGAGCAGCGCCTGACCAAGGACTACGGGAATTCTCCTCTGCATCGCTTCAAGAAACCAGGCTCCAAAAATTTCCAGAATATCTTTCCCCCTTCTGCCACTCTTCATCTGTCCAATATTCCGTAAGTACCTGCTGGGGATGTGGCTGAGTATTGGAGTGTTTGCAGCTTCTGTCTGAGTGCAGGCACAGGCAGCTCTGTGCTGCTGGCAGGAGAGCTACCCCAGCTCCCTGTTCCATCTCCTTGCCATGCCAAGACGCTGCTGGTAGGGAATTTAGAAAAGTCTCTGTTGACAATTACTTTTTGAAATTAACTGGGTCTATCAATGTCCTTTTGACTGGAAACACTATTTCTTTCAGACCCTCAATAACTGAAGAAGATCTTAAGATGTTATTTTCAAGCAATGGTGGGGTGGTCAAAGGATTCAAATTCTTCCAGTAAGTGTTTTGTGTCATGTCCTCTCCTTACACTGGGCTTCTCTGTATGGGAAGGGTGGAAGTACTTAGTTCCAATCAAATCCCAGCTCAGGCTCAAAAAGGTGAGCAGAATCCTCACTAATGCAGCATTTGACTCTGGAATGAAGAATTCCTGAGTAACTTTGGTTTGAGCACTGGCTGAGAAGTTGGGCTGTGTGTGCTTGCTACAGAGATACTCCTCTGTGTAGAGAGTGAGTGTAGTGCAAGTACCTGGAGGGGGTTAGTTCTCTGCCAGCCCCATCAAGTGCTGGATGAGAGAACTTGGATCGAGTTGGGGAAGCTCCTGCACTGGAACTGAACATGCCTGAAACTTGTGTCTTGTCAGGAAGGACCGTAAAATGGCTCTGATCCAGATGGGCTCTGTGGAAGAAGCCATTCAGTCCCTCATTGAGTTCCACAATCATGACCTGGGGGAGAACCACCACCTGCGTGTGTCCTTCTCCAAGTCCACCATTTAGAGCTTGGGAAGGCCTGAGACAAAATGGACTTGACTTAAAACCTGTGGGGCTCAGCCTTGACCTTAAAAGGCTGGACACCAGAGTTTCAACTTCCATCATTCCAGAAAAAAAAAAAAAAGCCACTTTAAAAATGCAGCTGAAGTGACCTTAAAAGACCAGAGATTTTATTTTTTTAAAGAGAAATCAGTTTACCGGTTTTTAAAAAAAAAAGAAAATTAACTCTAATTCCTCTTGCTAACCTTGCGGTGATGGGTAACAATCTTGACTGTTCCAATAAAAATCACAAGTTCAAGTTTACACTATGGAACCTGCTCTGGGAAATTCCCCTCCCCTCCTGCTCCTCCCCTAAAAAGCAGATCCCAACAAGTTTTATCAGGTTTCACATTGATGCCTTTTTTAATTTCTTTACCCATCCATGCCTTGAAAGACCTAAAACCACTGTGTGAATTCACTGTAGCGCCTTGGAGTCAGGATTGTGGTGACCAGGAGCTCCCAACCCGCCCAGCACAACACTCGGTTGCATTGATCCCACCTTACTTGTGCACCTGCTGTCCTGTGCCTTAAACCTTCTACTTCTTGGGGGAAACATCCGAGCGGCAGGGAGGGGATGGGCAGAGCCGAGGGGGAGGAGCAGCTCTGGCCACGATCAGCTGGGGGAGCTGGCAGAGTGGAGAAAGGAAATGCTGGGCTGGGACTCACTGCCCGTGAGTGTCTCAATCCCAGCGTGTCTTGTGCCGCTTCCCAGTCTGCTCGTGGGTCATTGCCACCTGCATCTCAGGTGGGAGCCACCCGAGATCCTTTGTTCAGACCGAGCAGAGGTCTGGGTGGGGGAGCGTTCCCAAGGCCAAATCACATTCCAGTGTCAGGAGCGAGCCCGCGGGCTCTGCCCTCACAGAGCATTGGTGAGGGACAGGAGAGCCCCTGTGGGACACTTGAGAAGATGAATCAGAGTTTGTCAAAATTGTGTGTGTATATACCTAAACGCTTGGCTAGGATTTGGAGAATCCTTGGATACCCCATGATTAGAAAGGCGCCTGCAAGGCACCTTCGTGCCCCTAATTGGAGATTAACGAGGCCGCTGTAGCTCCGCCATCGTTCTTAGAGCATGTCTTCAGCATTTGAGCTTTTGTTTGAATCCTTGTATTATACTTTGATGCCGTTGCTGTCCTCTGTGCCTAGCAATATTTCCAGTTGACCAAATATTCTAATCTCTTTATATGCAAAAGAAATAGTTTAAGTACCTTTTATAGAATGATAAGATGGTATAAACGTAATCTAAATTTACTCCTTTGTGGTATTACCCGTGTATACTGTACTTTATTTTCTTTGTTTTGTAATTGAAGCTGTAGGGCAGGAGTAGTTTCCAGGCTGAGGTCGTGGCTGAGGATGAGCAGAGCCAAGGGTGTGAGAGAACGAGCACAAACAGCTCGGGAATGGAAGGAAAAGGACCCAGGCTAAAGATTTTTTTTACCTTTTGAACCTATAAACCCAGATGTTGTTCTAGGAAGGGAATTTATTAAAAGTAGTATGCAGCAGATCGGTTTTTCCCAATGATACAACCATTTTTTTTAAATTTTTTTTTTCTGGCTTACAACTCTTTCCCGGGCCATTCTGCCTTCTATTCCGTGTGATCCAATGTTGCCTTACATTTCCCTCTAACCTGCAACCTGTTCGGATGCAAAATAACAAGAATCTTGTACTTTTTTTCAGGGTTTTTCTGCAAATTGTGGACCAAAGTTTGTTTTTTAATTGTCTTAGTGTTGCAAGTTCTGATTTCCTTGCTTGGTGTGGGAGCTCTTGACTTGCCTAGCACTGAGTGTTTGGAAAAGTCTTAACTTTCTGTAGTTCCTCCCTGGACTCTCAAGGATATGATTTATGCTGGAGAAGTGTGTGAGGTCCGAGTGGGGGCCCGGCTGGGGCTGTGGTGTGCTGAGTCCCCCCCGTTGGCCGAGGAGGGCGAGACCCCCAGTGACAGCATTGCCCCAGCTGCTTTTGGGTACCTCTAAATCCATGCTGGAGCCGGGGACCTCCCCCTGCAGAGCTCCCTGGGGCCCTGCCAGTGTCCTGTGCTCAGGAAGGCACACCCAGGGGTCTCGGTGGCTGTCGCCTCCTCCCCTCCCTGTTGAAAGACCCTCGAGGGGACCCAGCCCGCCCAGCACAGCGGCACTGGGTGACCGGCCAGTGCCCCCCATCACCCTCCCCAGCGCTGGGGAGGCTCCTGGGGCCGGGCCCTGGCCAGGACACTCTGGGTGTCCTGTGCAAATCACGGCTGGATTGGGGTAACCGGGCCCCCGGCACGGCAGGTGCTCCCTTCGGATCCTGTGTTTGCATGTAAAGAATGTGAGTAACTAAGGGTGTACATATTTATAATTTTTTTATACCTGTTGTAAGACATGAGGGGCAGCAAAACCCAGTTTTTTATGGTGACCAGATGTATTGTATATTTTGATAACAGCAATTCCAGGTTCAGTATTGTGGAAGGTGGGTGGGGAGGGGAAGCGTACACACCATCAGAATTCCATTGCCTCTTTCAAAGAATGTTTGTAATGCAAAAAGAAAAGAAATTAAAACTACTTTATAACAACCTTTGTACCTTTCTGTAGCTCCATTATTTCCTGTTGAGATTGTAGAAGCAGTTGGTGCCCAGTCTGTACTTGTGCTTTCAATAAATTCTTCTGTATCCTTCACTCCTGATCTTCCTCCTCTTTATTGTGCCTGTTTTGCTTCTGATTTTTCCTTCTCATGTAATTCCAGCTGCCTCATTTTATTTAACTTTGACTCTTGACACACTCTGGGCTGGCAGCTGTCCCTGTCTCTGTGGAGCATGGGATGGGGTCTGGCCCTCCAGCCCCTCGGTGCTGGGCCAGAGCCCCGAGACCTGAGGCTGGTTGGGCCCTCACTGATGTTCTGCCTGTGTCACACTCCAGCACTTTTTACTTCATGTTCCTAAACTTTCCATATGTTCTGGCTAATATCCATGAAAAATAACCCACTTTGAGTCAAACCCTCCTCTCTGTAGTCCTGTGCTATAGCTGTGGGGCTGGATGTGCTGTTCTCCATCCCGTGGGAGGAGGTGCAATTCCTGTTCCCTCCATGAGCTCCCAGAGGAGCACGGTGCTTCCTTAGGGAGCTGGTTCCTTACCTGTGTGCTGAGCTCTGCTCGAGCTCCTGTCCAAAAGTCACCCTGTGTCCTGGGGGAGACACAGTCCCCACCCTGAGCTGCTGCTGTGGCTCTGCTGTCCCTGTCCCTCTGCTCAGCCAGCATTAGGCTCCAGCACACTCCACAGGCCTTGGGCCCCAGGGTTACCCAGGGGGTCTTGCTGGAGCCAGGGACTGCTGAAAGGGACCACTGTTGCTCCTCGAAAGTCTACTGGGATTTGTAGCAGCTGCCTCTCCTGGTCTCGGTGCACGTGTGAAAGCTGGACCGAGTGGGCTGTGTTGCTGCCCCGCAGGAGTGAGCAGGATCATTGCTCCTGGGTTGGTTCCCCGAGTTCTCTGGGGTCCAGCCCAGGCTTTGCATCCATTCCTGGCCCCTTGGACACTGATCGACTGCTGAAGGATCGATGGGGGCAGCGATGGCCATGGACGGGGTCCCCATGGGAACGGCTCCCGGGGGGGCCGCATCCTGCCCTGGCTCTGTTCTGGCATCCCATCCCACCCCTTCCCCGGCAGAGCCCCCCGTGCTGCCGAGCTCTTCCCGGCCTGTGTCCAGCAGTGGAGGGAACTTCCCTAAAGCTGCCTTTAACGGGAAAACTGACGTAGGGAAACCGGGGCTGTTCCAGCGGGAGCGCGCACGTCTGCACCAAAGGGCTTTTCCAGCTCCTGCCCGGAGCAGAGGGAAGGAGCTCCCTGCAGAGTGAACACCCTGAACCCCGACCTTCCCTGCACCCCCGGCCCCGCTGGGTACAAAAAGGGAATTGTCTGCCAGCAGAAACGCCAAAGCAGAAGCCCCAAATCGGGGATCCCTGGCTGAGGGCAAAGCGAGCCCGGGGATGGGGCGGGGGCGCGGCCGAGCCCTTTGTGTGTCACGAAGCCGGGGAGCCCTTCCCCTGGTGCTCACCCGGGGGACGGGCTGGGGGCAGAGGGTGTTCCCGGCGGAAAAGGTCGGGACATCGGACACGGGTGGTCCCGGGGCAGAGTCCTGGCCGGAGCTGATGAGGCGGGGGCTGGCAGTCCCTCCTGCGGGGGGATGGAGGATGAGGATGCGGACGCGGATGAGGATGAAGATGCTCCCGCTCCCTCCCGGCCCCGCGGGTCCTCAAGCGATGCAGCAGCGGCTGCTGGGGGGCAGCCCGAGAGGGGGGCCGGGGGCTGGGGGAGCGGTGCAGGAGCGGGTGTGGGGCTGGAGGGGTTCCTGTGGCTGCGGGAGCGGTGCGGGGCTGGCAGTTGCCATGGAAACCGCTGGGTCAGAGGCAGAGGGAAGCGGCGCGTGACGCCATCGGCACCGCAGTGAGCCGTGAGCGCGGGGCCGACGTGGGGCTGGTGGGCCGGGAGCCCCCGCACCGCCCCAGCCCGCGGCAAGGACGGCCGTGAGCGCGGCCTCTGTCCTGGTGACCTTCGCCGGAGGCTCCGGGTCACCTCCCCGGGTCACCTCCCCGGGTCACCTCCCCGGGTCACCCGCGCGGCCGGACGCGGCAGCCCCACGGCCCTCGTGCCCCTCGTGCCCCTCGTGCCCCTCGTGCCGCTGCTGGTTGGCGTCAGACCCCTCCGGGTCCCCTCCCAGGGCCCCCGTAACCCCTCACACCACGAGCTGCTGCCACAATCCTGCCGCTAATCCCGAGTGGCTTTTCCAGCACGGAGTCAGGGTTATGTGGATAATCCATATGTTTGCAAGGCAGAGGCTTTGGGATATCCACTGTTAATCCAATTGACAGTGGCAGTTTGGTGCCATTGGCACAGTGTCCTGTTCCGGGGGGGACGTGGCTGCCCCGGGCTGGGAGCCCCCCGGGCTGGGAGCCCCCGTGGGTGCTGGAGCCCCAGTCCTGTCCCCCAGCCGTGGGACCAGCTGCCCACACCCTGTCAAAGGAGCCCAGCCAGGGAACATCCACGTGTTTATTTGCTTTTCAAACCACAGCAGCTCCAGCCATTGCCCAATGTACTCACAGCCTGGAGACCGCC